ACTTACAACATTAGTAATGGTGGGTTTGGGTCTTCACACTTTCCCACCCGCGAGGAATGTTCCAAACAGGAGGTCACCTAGCCCGGGGGCGTGAGTAATCGACCAACCTGCCCACCCCAAGGGATGTTCCAAATAAGCGACCACCCAGCCCGAAGGCCTTAGTCATGGTGGGTCAAATGGGTCTTCACACTTGCCCACCCGCGAGGAAGGTTCCAAACAGGAGGTCACCCAGCCCGGGGGCGTGAGTAATCGACCAACCTACCCACCCCAAGGGATGTTCCAAACAAGCGACCACTCAGTCCAAGGGCCTTAGTCATGGTGGGTTTGGGTCTTCACACTTGCCCACCCACGAGGAATGTTCCAAACAGGAGGTCACCCAGCCCGGGGGCGTGAGTAATCGACCAACCTTCCCACCCCAAGGAATGTTCTAAACAAGCGACCGCCCAGCCCGATAGCCTTAGTCATGGTGGGTTGGGGTCTTCACACTTGCCCACCCGCGAGGAATGTTCCAAACAAGAGGTCACCCAGCCCGAGGGCATGAGTAATCGACCAACCTGCCCACCCCAAGGGATGTTCCACACAAGCGACCACCCAGCCCGAGGGCCTTAGTCATGGTGGGTTTGGGTCTTCACACTTGACCACCCGTGAGAAATGTTAAACAGGAGGGCACCCAGCCCGGGGGCGTTAGGAATCGACCAACCCACCCAAAGGGATATTCCAAACAAGCGACCACCCAACCCGAGGGCCTTAGTCATGGTAGGTTTGGGTCTTCATACTTGCCCACCAGCGAGGAATGTTCCAAACAGAAGGTAACCCAGCCCGTGGACGTGAGTAATCGACCAACCTGCCCACCCCAAGGGATGTTCCAAACAAGCGACCACCCAGCCCGAGGGCCTTAGTCATGGTGGGTTTGGGTCTTCACACTTGCCCACCCGCGAGGAATGTTCTAAACATGAGGTCACCCAGCCCTGGGGCGTGAGTAATCGACCAACCTGCCACCCCAAGGGATGTTCCAACCCAGCCTGAGGGCCTTAGTCATGGTGGGTTTGGGTCTTCACACTTGCCCACCCGCGAGGAATGTTCCAACCAGGAGGTCACCCAGCCCTAGGGCGTGAGTAATCAACCAACCTTCCCACCCCAAGGGATGTTCAAAGCAAGTCACTTCCGAACTAGACCAGATCATACATCATGTCATCCAAAATCATTCCAGCATTCCAAGCATAAGAAGATGTGCAATAAAGCAAGTAATGCCGAAAAATAACTAAATTTCATTATTTTCTGAATAGGGTTTGTGAGCTACATCTTTGTTCGAATTTCCAAAACCTCCTTGAAAAAGGCAAAAATTTTACACATAATATTTTTTCAAATTAGCTATGTTCCATGACCTGGCAAGTGATCGCCCTTCTGCATCCTTTAGGGAGTATGCTCCTCCTGCATGCACCCTCTCGACCAAGTATGGTCCTTCCCAGTTCGTCTCCAGCTTTCCCACGTGTTTGAGTACATCCACGTGTTTCCAAACCAAGTCACCCACTTGGAGTCTGCGAACTTTCACCTTCTTGTCATGAGCTGCTCGCATCCTTTGTTTGTACGCCTCTACTCGGATCGCTGCTCTTTTGCGCAGCTCTTCAATGGTGTATAAGGCCGCCATCATCAGGTCTACATTTTGCTCCGGGTTATATGTGCTCGATCTTTGTGATGACAGCTCGACCTCCACCGGCAGCAGTTCTTCCATCCCATAGACTAAACTGAAGGGAGTTTCTCATGTTGTCGACCTCGGGGTTGTGCAGTACGCCCAAAGTACTGAAGTTAGCTCGTCGACCCACGCCCCCGAGGCGTTTTCCAGCCTTGTTTTCAGCCCGTTCAGTATAATTCGGTTGGTCACCTCGACTTGGCCATTGACTTGCGGATGAGTGACAGAGGCAAAGTGTTGTTTAATCTTAACATCCTCACACCATGCTCGAATCCACTTACCATTAAATTTAGTTCCATTATCGGATATCAACACTTTGGGCACGCCAAACCTGCAGTAAATATTGTTATATAAAAAATTGATGACTTTTTCCTCAGTGATCTTTGCCAAGGGCTCAGCCTCCACCCACTTCGTAAAATAGTCTACCGCCACGATCAAGAATTTCCTCTGCCTAGTTCCTTGCGGCATCGGCCCCACCAGCTCGATTTCTCACTGGGCAAATGGTATAGGAGCACTCATCGTTGTCATCGCCTCTGCCGGTTGATGGATAAGCGGGCCATGCTTCTGGCATTGTAAACAATTCCTCACCATCGCCTTCACATCCTCCTTCATTGTCGGCCAAAAGTATCCCGCTCTCAGAATTTTTGCGACCAAGGCCCCCAACTTGCTGTGGTCACTACAGCATCCTTCGGCAACTTCTCTCAACACATATCGACCTTCCTCCTTAGTCACACAGCATAAATGCGGTCCAGTGTATGACCGCTTATAAAGAATGCCTCCGTGCTAAAAAAATCTCTTCACTACCTTTATCGCCCTCTCCTTCAACTCCTCTAAGATCGGGGCCCTCTAATCCTCCACTTCCTCAATCTCCACCACTTCCGCCTCGACCACACTTCTCTCTAAATGCAATAGTCATACTTCTGCTTTTACAATCCACCAAGCTTTGAGCAATTTTTGACAACAAGTCTGCTCGACCATTCTCTCCTCGAGCGATCTGTATTAGCTCGAATGAGTCAAACTCCTCTTTCAACTTCTTCATTTAGTCCACATACCTCTGCATCCGATCCTCCTTAACTTCAAACCCTTCCTGAAACTGCCTCACCACCAATTGAGAGTCAGAATGTACTTGTACCTTTCAGGCTCATCCCGCCATGGCCAACCGCAAGCCTTTGATCACCGCCTCATACTCAGCTTCATTATTGGATATCTAAAGCCCACTTTGGCCGCGAACTCCAAGTAATCGCCCTTAGAGGAGACAAGGACAATTCCCAATCCAGCCCCACTTCTTGCCACAGATCCATCTACAAACAACTGCCATACTCCTCCAGACTCCCCCTCGACTCTAGTGCCTTGCTGAATAAAATCAGCCAACACTTGCGCTTTTATAGCCCTCCTTGACTCATACAACAACGAGTATTCACTCAACTCGACCGCCCATTTCACCAATCGACCAGAAACCAATGGTCGGCCAAGCGTTTCTCCCAACGGCATGTTTGTTCACACCTTCACCTTATGATTCAAGAAATAAGACCTCAGCTTTCGAGCAGTTACAACTACCGCCAGAGCACACTTCTCTATCTCCGAGTACCTCATCTCCGCTCCCTGCATCACCCTGCTCACGTAGTAGATAAGAAACAGGGCTACCCCTTCTTCTCGCAACAACACTGAACTCACGGCCCTCTCCCCGATAGAAATGTATAGCACTAAATCCTCGCCTTGCACCGGCTTGGCTAATATAGGAAGATTGGCCAACACTCCTTGTAACTCCTAAAATGCCCTTTGAGCCTCCTCTGTCCACTGGAACTTCGCGCTTTTCTTCAATGTTTTAAAGAACGGGCCACTCTTCTCTGCCACCTTCGATATAAAACGACTCAACCCCGCAATTTGACCAGCCAAGATTTGTACCTCCTTAATATTCGTCGGCGACTTCATCTCCATCACCGCTCGCACCTTCTCCGAATTCACCTCGATACCTCTCTAGGTCACCAAATAACCCAAGAATTTTTCTGACTTTACCCCGAAAGAGCACTTGGCTGGATTCAACTTCATCCCATACTTCCTCAATGTTAAGAACGTCTCTTTCAAGTCCCTCACATGATCCATCTCCTCCTTACTTTTCACCAGCATATCATCCACATATACTTCTATATTCCTCCCCAGCTTTTCGTTGAAAATTTTGTCGACCAACATTTGATACGTGGCGCCCACGTTTTTCAGGCCGAACGGCATCACCACGTAACAATAGGTTCCTCGACTTGTTACGAAACTCACCCGCTTTCTATCTTCTCTCGCCAAGGGAATTTGGTGATACCCCTGGGAGGCATCCATTAAGCTCAGCAACTCACACCCCGCAGTTGAGTCGACCAGCTGGTCGATTCTGGGTAATGGGTACAAATCCTTCGGGCATGCTTTGTTCAGATCGCGAAAGTCAATGCACATTCTCCATTTCCCCTCCGCCTTTAACACTATCACTGTGTTTGATAACCATTTTGGGAATTGAATCTCCTTGATGTGCCCAGCCCACAGCAGCTTCTCCACTTCCTGCTCGATAATTCGATCAATCTCCGCCCCATGGTGCCTTCTTTTTTGCTTCACCGGCCTCACACTGAGGTCAATGTTCAGACGATGCTCGATCACCTCCGCACTTATTCCTGTCAATTCCTCCACTGTGTAAGCGAAGATATCAGCAAACTCCCTAACCAGACCGATCAACTTCGACCGGATGGGCTCCTCCAAGTCCTTCCCGATTCTAAACTTCCTCTCCTCACATCCCTCGATCATCTGGATCTCCTCTACTTCCCCTCCTGGCTGGATGTCTACTTTCTCCTTGCTCTTCTCTAGCCTCAACTTATCCTCCTTCGATCTCGACCCGCCTGGTCGACTAATCTCCTCTTCCTTTGGTTTGACTAATCTCCTCTTCCTTTGGTTTGGTCTGCCTCCTCGCCAACTGTTTATTATTACTCACCGTCGTCTGATAGCAACTCCTTGAGGTAAGTTGATCCCCTGCGATCTCACCAACGTTTTCGCCCACAAGATATTTTATCGTCATGTGGTACGTTGATACGACCGCCTGGAATGCATTTAAGCTCGTCCTCCCCATAATAATATTGTAAGATGACTCAGCTCCTACCACCACAAACCTTACCATCCGTACTTTCCTCGCCACTCCTGATCCCAGCGCCACTGGCAAACTCACCTCACCCATCGGCATCATTTCTCCTCCATTAAAGCCATAGAGAGCTGTGGCCACCGGCTTCAACTCCATATTCAGCTCCTTGTTGATCTGCGAATAACAATCTTAAAACATCACATCTACCGAACTCCCGAAATCAATAAACACCCTCTTCACATCAAAACCCGCAACCTCCGTGGTAATCACCAATGCATCGTTGTGTGGCAACACCACTTCTTCAGCATCCTCCGCCTTAAAACTTATCACCGGCATATGAGCCGTGATTCCTACCTCCTCCCTCTTTCTAGTTACTGCTCTAGCATGCTCCTTCCTGGCGTTGTTCGAGTCACCATCCGTCGGCCTTCCTGAAATCATATAAATCGCCCCTCTCTTCATAGGGGCTTTGCCTCCGTGTCCTCCCTTATCTCCATCTCTCCTCGACTTCTTCCATCTACCATCTCGACCATCTCTATCATCTCCCTCCTCATCTCTATCACTTCTTTCCTCCGAATCCTCCCGACATATCCTCCTTCCTTTTCCCTTCGCCCTATCATGATACACAAACTCTTTCAAATGCCCCACTCGAATCAACCTCTCAATCTCGTCCTTCAAATGCCTACAATTCTCTGTGGTATTGCCGTAATCTCGATGAAAACGGCAGTAAATATCTGATCTGGGTCGAATCGAGCCTGTAAACCTCATCTTCGGCCACGTCACATCCTCGCTCGACATCTTCTGCTCCATCGCCTCGAGCACTTCTGTCAAATCTTTTCTCAGAGGTGTAAAATTATGGTACCTCTGTCTTTCAAAAGACAAAGGCCTCCCCTGCCACCTTTCATCCCTTTTCTCCCATTTCGAATCTCGACCCTCCCTCCTGGGGGATGTTCTTTTCGGCCCACTCCTTTTGGGCGAACTCCTCCACGACGACCTCCCCCATTGTGGGCTCTTTTCCTTCTTTGGCTCTGGTCGATCTGCCCCCTCCAATTTCGTAAACTCCACCTCGATCTCCTCTAGATTAATATACTTACTGCATCGCTTCAAAACATCCTCATATGATCGAGCAGGGGTCTTTGCCAGGGAGGTTCAGCAAGGCCCTGCTCGAAGACTCCTTATCAATCCTCCTGCCTTCACCTCATCCGACGCCGAGTGAACCTCCAAGCACGTCTGGTTATATCGAGCAACATACTTCCTCAACGAATCCTTCTCCCCCTGCCTCATCGCCATCAGGTCAGATATGTCTTCTCCTGTGCCACCGCGCTCGAATATTGATTGGTAAGTTTGCTGGCGAAATCCTCAAAGTCCACGATCGATCCAGGGGGTAACTGGTGAAACCAATCAAGTGCTCCTCCGCGCAAGGTCGATAAGAATGCCCTGCAACATACAGAATCAGAGTATCCATGTAACACAACCATATTGTCAAAGGTCCTCACATGTCTCGATGGGTCAGATGACCCGTCATACACCAAATTAGTCTCCTTGAAATTATTCGGCAAAGGGGCCGTGAGAATGTCCCTCGAGAAAGGATGTCCTCGAGTTCTCCTCTCCAGCCTCCCCTCAACCTTGTCCTGTAACTGGCGCAACTGCTCTGCCATCCTCTCCATCGCAGGATCTCTTCCACCTCCCCCGTCTCCATAGCTAGACACATCCTCATCTTGACTTTCTGCCACCGTGGCCGGCGCAGTTGTAGCGTGAGATGTGTGGCTTATGACTTGCTGCACCGCCTGCACCGCCGCGGCCGCCGCTATCCTCTGCATTTTCTCCCTGGTCATCGTCACCACCTGTTGATCGGGAGCTTGTACAACTGCTTGTGGGGGCGCTCCTCCTTGTGCCACCGCTACTCCTGGTTGCGCCACCACTGGGTACCGCCGCCGCAGCTGCTGCGCGAGCCTCCTGGGCACGACTAAAACTGGCATCTCCTCTGGGGATTGCCATCGACGCTCCCACACCATGAAGGACGGGTGTAGGAGTGATCGACGTCTGCGAAGGGCCAGAAAAACCCGGAGGAGGGCCTTGCCCAATCGGCCTGGTCGTCGTCCAAGCGTCGTCGAACGTCGACTGCAAGTTTTTGGAAATTCCGTCCGCCATAGCTGAGCTTCAAACACAACTTCTCAAACGAAAGTCCCACAGACGACGCCAATAATGCAAGTGTGAGCGTCCTGGTCCTGTTTGGGGTAGATTGATTCTTTTCCTGGCCGGTAGAATGCCGGAAGCCTGCAAATAACTCTCACACCGGGGGGTTGGGTCCGATGAAGAGTCTCCAATTCCTAAGTCAGTATGTGTATGAGTATACTGGAATTGAGTAATGGAAAAATCGTGTTAAGGAAGAAAGACTCACCCCTTTTATATAAGAGTGAAATACCTGACCTAAGGCTGCCCGGATTTGATGAGCTGGCTGCCCAAGTTGCCCGTCCGTACTCTGACACACCGCGCGCATGTCAGAGGTGGCGCGGGATGTTGGGAGCTATCAGAGGTGGTTTTCACTATCAACCAATAGGTTCTCGACACATGTCCTGCTGCACATGGAGTGGATATTCTTTTGAAATTCCGTTAGAGGCTCTTTTACGCGCCTGTGACTAGGTCGATCTATGAAGCATTACGTTTATGAAGTGTTTAAGTCCGTTTGACTGCTCGATCGCTTTCCTGGTCGGACGATGGACTGGTCGACTGCTTGACTGGTCGACTTTTCCGCGACCCGGCTCGGTTTCTTCACGGCATGGCCTCTTCGACCGGTTCAGCAGACCGGTTTAGCCTTGTGGGTATAATATTCTATATCACACAGTAATGTGTGGGGGCCTTGCCATGTGAAAGCTTTGAATGGTTATGCTTACTATGTTAGTTTTAAAGATAATTATTCAAGATTTACTTGGATTTATTTGTTAAAGGAAAAAGAAGATGTTCACAGTGCCTTCTTAAGTTTTAAAGCCTTTGTTGAAAATCAATTTTGCACAAAAATTAAAGCCTTTCAGAGTGATGGAGGAGGAGAGTACCAGACCCTATCTAAATTGTTTAGGAAAATGACATCATGCACAGAATCTCTTGTGCCTACACACCTTAGCAGAGTGGTTTGGCTGAGAGGAGGCATAGAGATATAGTCAACATGGGGCTATATCTCCTAGCTCAGTCTCATTTGCCCTTGTGTTATTGGGGAGATGCTTTTATTACAACAAACTATCTTCTCAACATGATTCCCAGTAGGCCATTAAACTTCAAAATACCTCTTGAGGTTTTTTGTAATAAAAAACCAGACTACAGGAGGCTTAAGGTGTTTAGATGTCTATGTTATCCACACCTTAGACCCTATAGCAAACACAAGATGGACTACAGGTCATATGATGGAGTTTTCTTGGGATATAGCAATTAGTATAAAGGCCACAAGGTGCTTCTCCCATATAGAAAAGTGATCATCACAAGAGATGCTGTATTTGATGAAAAGAGGTTCCCTTATGCTGAAAAGGAAGCTACTGCCAATACAGAAGCCAGCCTTCAGAAAGTGCACAGCTTTCTAGGAATCCCAATCATTGAGAGGGATGTTCAAATGAATAAGAATTCCAGAAAGGAGAACACCTTCCACTATGAAGATCAAAATCCAACCAGTAACACAAGAATGCAGGCTTAAAGAAGCAACTCATCTTCTAGAGGAAGTTCCAGCTCAGAAAGCATAAGTCATCCAGGTATACCACTCTTTGTTGAGCTACCTATAATGTCTGAGCCAAATAACCAGCAAGAGAGAGAAGAATCAAGAAGAAAACACCCTATGATCACAAGAGCTAGAGTAGGGATATACAAACCCAAAGTCTATCTCACAGAGTGCCATGAATTTGATCCTGTCTCATTGAATGAAGCTCTCTCAGCCAAGCATTCGAAGATGGCAATGGAAGAGGAGCTCTGTGCCCTACACAAAAACAACACTTGGAGCTTAGTAAAACTCCCAGAAGGCAGAAGCATAGTAGGGTGCAAATCGGTGTTCAAAATTAAGAGAAATTCAGATGGAAGCATTTCCAAGTATAAAGCAAGGCTTGTAGCACAGGGATATTCTAAAAGGCCAGGCTTTGACTTCACAGAGACCTTTAGCCCAGTTGTGAAGCAAAACACTATAAAAATCATCTTGGCCTTAGTAGTATCTCGTGATTGGAGGATAAGACAACTAGATGTGAGTAATGCTTTTCTCAATGGTGACTAAAGTGAGGCAATCTTCATAAAGCAACCCCCATGTTTTGAGAAATACGGAAGTGAGAATCTTGTTTGCAAACTGTCTAAGGCTCTATATGGGCTTAAGCAGGCCTCAAGAGCATGGTTTAGCCATGTTCAAGAAGCCCTTGAACTCATGGGATTCAAAGACTCAAAGGCAGATAGTTCTCTCTTCTTTAAGAAAGAGAGGGGGAGCTTTTTTTTTGTTCTCATATATGTGGATGATATCCTAATAACTGGAACTCATGAGGATGAAATAAATAGCTTTGTCAAGTGCTTTGGAAAGAATTTTGCAGTCAAAGATCTTGGAGAAGTTGAACATTTTTTTAGGATTCAGATAAACAAGAGTACAGATGGACTTCATCTTAATCAAGGAAAATATGTGGTTGATTTGTTAAAAAGAGTTAACATGGAAGAAGCTAGAGGAGTCCCTACACCTATGGTGTCTTCACTGCAATTGTCAAAGGAGGATGGTGAGCCAACAGTAGACCACACCTTATATAGAAGTGTGGTAGGGGCTTTGCAGTACATTACCTTAACAAGAGCTGAAGTGAGATTTGTTGTAAATAAGGTAAGCCAATACATGTCCAATCCTTTAGATGCTCACTAGAAAGCTGTCAACTGAATTTTGAGATACCTAGGAGGCACTGCAGACCATGGGTTACACCTCAAAAAATCAGCTCACCTTGACTTTAAGGTCTTCTCAGATTTTGATTGGGGGGCAGACTTAGATGATAGATGATCTACAACAGGGTACTGATTTTCCTTGGAGAATGTTTGGTATCATGGTGTTCTATAAAGCAAACTTCAGTTTCTAGATCAAGCACTGAGGCCGAATATAGAAGTTTGTCTCATGCTGCCCCAGAACTAACCTGGATTCAATCTCTGTTGATAGAACTTTGAGTTGAGATATTAAAAACTCCAGTAATTTGGGTAGACAACCAAAGAGCAGTGTTCCTGGCATCTAATGCAGTTAGGCATGGAAGGACCAAGCATGTGGAGCTTGATTACCATTTTGTTAGAGAAAAAGTGCAGAAGGGGAGTCTCTTAGTTTGTCACATTCCATCAGCTGAACAGGTGAGTGACATTTTTACCAAGCCGCTTTCATTGCAATCCTTCTCTCGTCTCAAGGATAAGTTAGGAATCATAAGTAAAGGCTCGATCGGATTGAGGGGGAGTGTTAGCAATATTAAGGAGATGCAGAACAAGACTTGGTAAAAGAAAAGCAACCTCCAACTCATGCAAAATGCCGAGCCAGCATGGACATGCAATGAAGACAAAACTGCTTTTCCTAAAGCTGCAAAAACTGGCCACACTCTTAGTTTGGAGCTGTTGGAACCGTAGAATCATTTTTATAATGTGGACACTTGTCTAGTTTGTCTTCCCTTGATATGTGTATATAGTTTTATTCCCAGCTCATGTAAACATCATTGAAAAGAATTGTGTCCGTGAATTTTATGTGTGGCGGCTAAAATATTTGTAACGCCCCACTTTTATTAGATTAAATTCAGAATAAATTTTTCAAAATTTACTTCATAACACTTTGGCGGCGCTACTATTTGAAAAACCATTTTCAATGACATCATAAATGCAACTCCCAAAACGGGTTCCAAAAAAATCAGGTCAACACCCAAACCGGGTTCATTAATAACATCAATCTCCCAAAACTGGGTTTTCTCAAATTCATAAATATTGGGGAGTACACTCCCTATCCATAATCCGGAAATCAACATTAATCAGAATGCATAAACAATACTAGGCAGTTCAAAGCAGCGGAAATAAATTCAGTAACATGACCACCACTCGCCTCCTCTTGTCGTGCCAGCGAGTACTAACCTGCATCCGTGAAAAGAAGGTGGGGATGAGCACAATTGAAAAATCGAGGTGCTCACCACTATGCAGTAATCAATATTCAGTAATCATAAACAGTAAAGGTATGGTCGCAGTATGAACATAAAACAATTAATATCCCATCTCTTATCCCAGAGTCAGCCCTCATGTGCACACCTATACCAATAGACCACTGAACTGATACACGTATCGAAATGCCCCTCGGGTCTTACAATCGATGCCCAGCCAGCAGGAGTAATCCACCCCGAATGCCAAAGCTCACGCCTTGGCCTTACATACGAGGATCACCAGCCAAGACTTACGCCCTGACTGCCATACATAAATAAAGGAGACTACCCGAAGGTACGTTCTATAGCTACGGGGATAACCGTTCAACGGCCGGTACAGCTCACATGGAAGGCTACATGGTCCATACTCACACTTTGATCATACCACAACAAAAGCAGTTAATTAAAGCATAGCAATTTTATAAATAAACCCACCTGGATACTGAGATGTAGCTAAACACAAGCAGTTGAAGGGATTATTGCAAAAGTTCAGCTCAATGAACCTACAATAATTACGATAGTCCTATCAACAGACTATACAACACAAAACAACACACCAAGTACCACCTACTTAACCGAAACCGTATCGACTAAGTGACTTGCGGATTCCTTAACAAAGTTAAGTACTTGGAGTTGACTACTATACTCAAAACATCTCATATAATCCAAAGATATCACATAACCAAATTAATATACTCAATTCATAAATTAATAAGAAAAATGACAAGTTGGAAAACATGAAATTCATGCTTGTGTGTTTCTATTTTCAAGCACATAAAGAAATTTTAGATATAATGAAACAAGCAAGCATTCAATTAAG